GACTTATCTCTTTGGAGGGCACCAGACCACCCACTACAGGTGGATCTTGTGTACAGATGAAAAAAGATTATTGGCAGTTGCTGAAGCAGGGAGATGGGTACACTGGGGTTTGTAATACTAGTCTCCTTACTTTTGCTTTTGCTAGAAATTTCCCATCTAAAACACTATATTATTTATTGTGCTCCTAATATGTGCAGGGATTGTGCCAGACTTTGGGGAGTTGACTGAAAGCAAGATGAAGGCCCTACTCCCAGGAGCTCACAGTCTATGGGGAAACTGATATTAAACATATAGTGTCAAAATAATGTGAGAAAAGATATATTAGGGGAAATACAATCGTAGCTTAAGGTAGAGTACTCTCTTCAGAGCAAAGAGCATGTGCAAAGGCCCAGAGGCTAGGAAGGCTGATCTGAATGTGGCAGAGACAAGAGTATACACATAGGGTTGCCAGGCTTAGCAGATAAATACAGGACACTCAGTGAAATGTGAATTTCAGATAAACAATAAATAATTTTTTACTATAAGTATGTTCTATACAAAGTTTAGGACATACTTATACTAAAAAGTTATTTATTATTTGTCTACTATTCACATTTAATTGGGTGTCCTGTATTCTATCTGTGACCTAGTATAAAAAGTATTCCAGAGACCTGCCTGCCGCTTACTGACAGCAGCTCCCTGCTGCTCATGGCAGAGGTTTCTCACCTGCCTTCGTCCTTGCATCCAATTCCTGAAAACCTCTCAGTAAGTTTTTTCAAAAGCCATTCCCCACTGACTGGCAGAGAGAGTCCAAACATCCTGAAATTTTTTGTTTAATATTTTAATTGCCAACCTTGAAAAGGAACATATTAACCAATTGTTTTGTGATAAGAGGAGGACTTAGTTTTCTTCTAATCTAGCATGGAACCCATGGCCCCTGAACTCTAAAGGAGGGGCTTTTTAAGTGAAAGAGGTGGGGAGTCTTGAGCATGTCCCCGAATCACCGGAATGATGACCAACAACCTAACTTATCACACAATTGTGTGGATGGGCTATTTGACAAGGATTAGTGAGGTTGAACCCAAGATGCTCGGGTTACATCAAGCATTCTGACACATGACAGTAGCAGCAGATTTATTCAATACAAACGGATCTGGGACATCTGTTCCCTGTTGTCATGGGACCACGTGATTAAAATTAAAATCGTGTAAGGAGCTGTTGGCAGTTATTCAAATGTTAAACATAGAGTTACCATATGACTTGGCAACTCCACTACTAAGCAGATACCCAGAAGAGTCAAAAATAAATCCACATTAAAAATTGTACTCAAATGCTCATAGCTGTGCAGTGCATAATCTTCAAACAGTGGAAACAGTACAAATCTATCAAGTGACGAACAGATGAACATACAGCGGCACATCCATACCATGGAATATTATTTGTGTATGTAAAGAAATAAAGTTCTGATGCGTGCTACAACAAGGAGGAACCTTGACACATTATGTTACATAAAAGAAACCAGACACAAACGGCACATATCCATGAGTTCATTTTATGAAACATCCAGAACATTCATGTTCATAGAAGCAGAAATTAGCTTAGTGGTTGCCTAGGGCTGGAGGGAGGGAAGAATGTAGAATGCCTGTGAAAGCACACAGTGTTTCATTTGGGGGGATGAAAATATTCTGAATTAGAGTGTGGTGATGGTACAGAATTCTGTGACTTTACTAAAAATCACAAAGTTGTACACTGGAAAAGAGTGACATTATGGTAGGTGAATTATATGTCAATAAAGTTTTTATTTTAAAGGACCTCTTACAGGAAGCCCTGTTTGGAACAGAAAAAAAAAATCACCTGCAATGTGCTGGTTGGAACTGTATAAAGAATTGCACCATTTCAGATGATATTTTAGGTGGGGTCTCGAGAAATGCAAACATGGCCAGTGTTGGGCAACAGTGCATGGAGAGGGCTGTGGAACCATGTTCCATGGGAAACCATTGGAAGAACTGCCAACATTGGGCCTTACGTTGGCCTGGGTGGTGTAACAGGATGAGAGGGAGAGGGCCATGACAGAGGGCTGTGCCAGGGACTCTCTGGAGGTGACTTAGGTGGCAAGTCTTTGGCCATGTGAATCACACTGAGTTTGTGCACAGAACAAAACCCAGCAGAGATGGCAAACCATAACTAGAGGCTCAGTGGTTACTTGCAGTGATTCCACCAATGTCTCTCATGCCTGTGACCCTGGGCAGGTCACCGATGCCCTCAGTCCTTATATTTGGTCATGTCTGTAGCAAAGATTTTAGACATATATCCACCTTGGAAGCTTGTTCTAGAATGAAATGTGAAAATTAAGTAAAAATCGTAGCTGAATGACTGGCCTATAAAAAATGCATCCAACGGAGGTGAATTCCTTTGCCACCTCCTGATGCCCCATTCTTTTACATTTTTAAAGTAAAACATCTAAGGCAGGAGACATTTGAAAAGTTGGTCATTTTTGTCTTTCAGG